CCTACCCACACAGTGAGCGTTTCTCAGCTGTCCTCTCTCTCTCTCTCTCTCTCACACACACACACACACACACACACACACACACACACACACACACACACACACACACACACACACACACACAAACAGAGAAACACATGTAACACAGTCAATACGTAATGGTGTGCTGAGGAGATAATGAAGCAAACAAGAGTACCACCAACGGTACATAATGCACCCGTCAGTAAATTGTCAGAGCGATCAAATTCATGCAATAGACTGAATTCCTTCACACAGCAATTCTGAATGTATGTTCCTATTAAATATATACAGTACACGGTGTAAAAGCTCAGTTAAGTCCACGATGCAAATCAACATAAAGTTTAATAAAAGAATGTGTAAAAACATGAACATGCTATCAGTTAACGTGAGGAACTAATCTGCTGATAACTATCATTATTATTTTACATCTTTTAATGGTTTACGCAAAAAGCAAAAATCAAGCAAAGTTTCAATGTATCTGAGGTGTTTATCTAATTCACTTAAAAGAGCTGTAAGTAAGTAATTGCGTGTAGACAGAACCACTGAACCAGGTGAATGACATTTAAAGAAAGGATGTCTTATAAACAGTTTGAGCAGCACCCTTTGACTTGATTCTTTTCCCCCCTTTTTTTACATTTTATCAAGATTCAGTTACCTAACACATCTGTTTGAGTACAGGAAGCTTTGAAATATAAATGTGCTCAATATAGCAGTCTGTGTAATGCAGCTATAAAGCAGCACAGCTCCTCATTACGAATGCAAATGAAGATCTGAAGAGAAAAGTGCGTGACAAAAACATTACTTGAAAATAATGCATGCAAGTTTTTGACATTTCAAAGAAAACTTATTTATTTATATATCTATATTTTTAACTGTTTCCTACAGTTTTGATGCATTAAAAACAAAACTACACAATTAATCTTATGGCTCAGCATGCAGTTAAACCTTTAGTTGTTATTTTCTATTTTTCTTATTGATTTCAAGATGTGAGGAATCATGGAGCTATTTGTGATTTTAAAGTAAAGTACTCAAGACACAGATTTTTTGATGATAATGCAGTAAGATCTGCCACACTACAATATGATTTAAAAAGTAATCAATAGAAAAAAAGGCAAAAGAACCAAATCCTGCAGAGAAAAAGGGCAAATAAAGTTGTTTTATTATCTTATTTGATAATGAAGCTTAATTTAGAAGCCATAAAGCAGTCTGAGACCAAAGCAGATCATATAAACATCAGCTACATCCTGTGTTACGTGTCAGAAAGACTGAATGACTGAATCTTAAAAGCATCTTCACACGGATGCTCAAGCCTCTAAAACCCACTGTTCAATGATCTAATTATTTACGATTAAAAACAGATGAAACAAGACACTAATAGCTAACAAATCCTACATTTGAAACTGAAACACACGTTAGTTCAGGTTTTTCATTCTCACTTCAAGGGTTCACTCTCAGTTCTCTGCCGTACAGAGGCAACTAGATGCCAAACATTGATTTTTTTTCAAAAGCTCACAGTGGTAAACCAAACTCACCTTCATCACAACCAGCATCAATAAAAAATGTCAAACCTCATCTATTTTTGCTCCATCTGCCCATCATTTGCACTAGATTTCTGTTCCATCTCATCATATTCACAAAGCAAATAGAGCTTGTAATTTGTGCAAATATGTCCACCCAGTTTAGCAGTTGTGAGCAGTTTTCTAACATTTTGCTGCATAATCTAAAACAACTAACCTTTGTTGCAAACACAGTGGGCACAAAAGTGACAGAGAACTTTTTTTTTCCTCGCAGACCTCCAGGTCTTAAAGTGCCTGTGACATGCCTGTTCATCGAATACAAAAAGTCAAAGAAAACACATTTTCATATAAGAAACCTTGCATAAAACGTGATTTTTACCCATTTGGTCACATAAATGGCATATTTTATTTTGAACTTGGATCAGCCAAAGTGAAACAAGAAGTGACATCAAAGGGGAACTATTTAAGAAAGAGAACTCTCTAGTCTTTGTTTATTGAAATTATAATTTTTCAACTCTGTCTCGTCTTCATCTCTCTTTGATAGTGACTCAAAATAATCTAGAGAAACATCAGATTCTTCTCTATAGTCTGTGTCTTTAGCCATTTTATCAATGCTCTAATCCATGCAGACATTCGCCTTTGACACTTCCTGGTTCTTCAAATGCAAATATCTCAACAACTCTTCCTCTCAGCAGCAGGAAATTATTTTTACAATATGTTTTTAATATTATCTTTCCAATAATGCCTTTATATTTATTTTAAAACTTTCATGTCACAGGCACTTTAACGAATAAAGTCAAGAAAAACTCCTTAAAACTTGATGAACAACATCTGGCTGCATTAAAAAGAATCACGCGTGAGAAAGGATTTCTAAATCAATATGTGACATTTTGTGTATTCTGGAAAATCATAACATTTTCTTGTTTTTACAAAATACATTTAAAAACAAGTCTTTAGTTTTTACACTGGAAACTTGAGTAACAGCTGATTCAGCCCTACTTCAGTGTTTGTTTGCTAAAACCTCTGTTTGCACTGTGTTGGAATGTTCTGTAATCATGAAGGTTTGCATTGTGAATGTAATACAGCAACAAGATTTACACAATTTTGGACAGTGTAGTTGTAGATGCAACAATCTCTGACACCCATCATTGGAAGAAAGGATGAACTATAATCTTCCTGACATCTGTCTTCTTTTAGTGAAGGCAGGAATACATCAAATCGCTCCTCTTCCTCTGTTCTGCTTCCTGAGCTGAAATGACCACTAGCTCTCAATTAGGGCTGCCAGAAATGATTATTTTTATAATCGATTAATCACTGATTATTTTTTCGATTAGTCGACTAATCGGATCATARGTTAATTGAATATAAAACATACAGCTTATCGTGCCAGAATGCAGCTGCTATTATATAACCATGGTTAGATTCTAGCTATATGCTAACTAAAAATAATTGCTTTGGAAGGCAAGTTCTGCTCTGCAGATATTGCACAGGTTTCTCTTTCATTTTCTTAAAATGATCCCACACTTTTGAGCTCCGTTGCCAGGTAGCCATGATACCAGAGCCTGTCTGTATAATGTCTTGTGACGTCCACGGCCTACCCCAGTTACCATTACTGTGCATGTGTGTCAAGGACAGAAAGGCAGATGTGGCAGTGGAAGGTGTTAAAGCAGTTTGGAGAGAAAAACAAAGTAAAGAACAAAAAAAAAGATTAATCGATTATTAAATTAGTCATCGATTATTTTAATAATCGATTAGTCGTCGATTAATCGATTAATCGTGGCAGCCCTACTCTCAATAAATGGCAAATATTTCACAGTAGCTACATGTCACAATTAGTGCTGTTCCTTGAACATGTTGAG